ATCACGATATCATTTCTTGAAATTTCTAAACTAATTACTAAATCCATTCACCCTACACTCCAAGTTGAAGCGCAGAAAATAAATCTCAAAACCAAAAATCATATTCAAAAGATATTTTAGAGACACATATTATCAAATTAATCCAATGCACGATCGTATATGCTTCAATTACACTTCAATTGTACTTCAATTAAAGGAAGAATAAAGCACTACAGAAGTTAGAGATATCCAAATTAGTGTAGAAAACAACACAACACTAACTATCAAAGAAACACACCAATAGTGAAATCGAAAGTCCAATTTCTTCAAAAAGATGCTACTGCCATCTTAAAAATATTTTTTTGGTTCAAATCATTTTTTTTTAATTGTGTCATAATATTGTTCAGCACATGAAAACCATTGTAGAAACCCATGAAGCATGGATACGAATACGGGATATAGATATGATACGATACGGATATGGTGATACGACAAAGTCTAAAAAATTAGGATATGAGTACGGTCCAGATACGGCTATAATAAAATATATTTAATATTTTTATTATTTTCAACCAGATTAATACTTATATATTTTGGTAGTTCTTTAATATACAATAAGAAAAATTAGTAATTTTTTTTAGTTTCACGAAAATATCTATCGTATCGCTGTAGTATATTCACAAAGTGAAGTGACTAATTAAAGGAATCAAAACTAATACTTACCTAATATTTAGAAGTAATTTTTGCTAAGATAATAATATAATAACTTTATTTTATACTCTTTTGATATGTAATTGTAGATAATACTTAAGAAACACTCATGTGTTTTTGAAGTAATATAATTTTTTTTGTTAATGTATTATATGATATGTGAATTCGAAAAGAGATGTTAAAAGTTTAACTCAAATATTATATATGTTGCTCGACCATAAAAGTATCCGTGAAGTATCATAATATTTAATTATTATTGGATACGTAGAAAGTGTATCCGATACGTATCTTCGAATATCCGACGAGTATTATATTCGATACAGTATCGGATATGGGTACGTCTACCTCAACGAAGTATCCGTGCTTCATAGGTAGCAACAAACCCACCAAAATAAGACTTCTTTAAGAAAATGAAGTTTTTTTTTTTTAACCATAATCTCCGCCCATGAAGTGCACCAAAAACATACACAAAAAGAGAGTAAGAGAAAGAGAAAGAGAAAGAGAAAGAGAAAGAGAAAGAGACGAGTTCATCATGTACATTACTATTTGAAGGGTTTGATCATCCTTTAAGATCCAACCTTTGTAAGTCAAATGTTGTTGTTCCAACAAAGATATTAGAGAGAAAACTAAGATTCGAGGCAATTGATCATATATATCATATCCTAGACCAAAAAAAAAAAAAGAAGATCATACATATCATATCAATAGTAAATTTACCATACTTCATAGTAACAATTCAACCCACCAGTCGAATCAGAACTATCATCACATTATATTATGCTTCATTAGTCGAATTATGAGTTCACGTAGAGGTTGAGATATATAGAATAAATCTCAAGGACTATCTCCTAATTTTTTTTGAATAATGAGCTATTGAAGGTGTGACCGCTGAAGACGTGACTGAGACTGGGCTTGAGAGAGAGATTTCCTTGAGAGGGGATATCCTGGGTTTGGAGAAGGGATGTCAGGTAAAAATTTCCCTGAGAGGAGATTTTGGCGTGATTGAGGGCGTTCGAGTTGAACAATTAAAATTTTTAAACAAAATAAGGCATGAAATAGGCGATTAAACAAAATTATGACAAGAAGACCATTTAGGGAAAGAATTGGAGGAATTTGGTTAATTTTGGAAACTAAAAATTTTGAGTGGAAAAAATATTTTAAGAGCAAATATGGTACGTCAGATCGAAACAATTTGAGACATCAATAGCTCAAGACAATTTAGGATAGTGTCGTCCGTTGGATGCCTTTTTTAGTCATGAAACTATCTGAGCTGCTTTTTATCTCTTGAATTCAAAATTGTTTTACATATGACTCCACCAAAAAGAAATAAAGTAAAGAAAACAATCCCACCAAAACTCCAAACCACAATCGCATAAATCTCATCCGAATTCCGATAAAATGAAAAATACCAAAGGCACAGACATAAACATAGAATTAAATAGTCTAATATTAAATTATCGATACGTAAAACTACATTTTGAATATCACCATTTTTAATAAGACTGTTCGTGATGGCAACTTGTGGTAGGCCTTCTTTGGATGAACCAAAAATCACTAACAAATGTGATGTAAACTCTGAGACTTGGGTGAACATTTGAAGATGATGTACGTAAACCTTGGTTTTTTACCAACAACAAATTCTCTCAAATTCAAACAATTTATACACTGTAATCCAACATTGTTTGTCAATAAATAAAAATAAAACATGGATTTTCAACATGAGCAATGACTCAAAAATATGAACTCAAAAACCCAAAAAATAAAGTCCCATTTTGTTGCTCGTAGAAAGAAAAAAAAAATAAAGCATTGGGGAAAAAGTCTGCACTCAGTTAAGTGCAGTCAACCACTAATTGCCTTAATAGAATTGAAATACAATATCGAAATAACCAAACAACTATTTGAAAAAGAAAGTCATATCATTGAATTAACGAACAAATTCCATAACAGAGAACGGAAGAAAAGCACTTAATATTGAATAAACTATATTATCCCAACAAATATCACCGCCATAAAAGAAGAAATTGACAAGACCAATTTCTACTGGGTCTGACCCAACCAATCAATGGAGCCAAAATTAGCCACAAAACAAGTCAAACCCAGTTCGAGAATTCAACTCAGTCCAAGGCTCAAGGAGTCCAAGAAGATTAGAACACATGAGGAGTAATCATTGAAATACAAATTCTCGAAAATCAAGACTATCTTAGTTGTACTTACCTTTTGTAACTATCCTCCTCGAGAAACTAGTGTCTTTACCCTCACGTCACTGCCTCAACTAAGGCTCAATGCCTAAAAATTATAAGTCCTCTCCACAAGATAGGACACTTCTTGAGATCTCTACCCCTCTCTACACACTCCTCACATAGCTTTTCTCTCTCCTAGTTATTGTACCTCTCTCGGAGCTAACCTCTGGTCTCTCTCTCTCTCTCTCTCTCTCACTTTATTAATAAAAGTTCTTTGGCCACTATTGCCGTTTTTTGAAGTGAAGTAGGTCACCCGGACCGAACCACTATATATTTGTGTGGTGACCCGATACTTACCTTTTTATCATTGATTGCTTTATTAACTATCTCATAAATTACACTATATCGCACACTCGATTGTTGATTTTGCATAAGCCTATTTTGTACATCATCAATTTGTTGCCGTCTGTGGGAAACGACTGAGTTTTCTACTACCTTGCTATTCTTTTTCAAATCCATGGCAATCACAACTAGGTTGATGAATCAACAAGCAGAGGATAACAATACAACTTGCCGGGAGGAGGCTCCACCCCCACCTCCGTCGGCATTAGCTGAACCGTCCACTGCGGTAACTCCCGTGGTCTGTCAACAGCTTTTGGAGACTATGCAGTTGTTGGTAAGCTAGAACCAGCAAATCATCCAGCCGATACTCGACTTAGGGGGTGCTGCCCCTTAACCTATGGGAGCAATACTCCTTCCAATTGGAGAGGTGCCATAACCTCTCCACTATGGGCACCAAGGCGCCCCCCGTCGTGGCACCTGACGTCAAGGCGCCCCCATGTAGTGCCAAGGCGTCCCTCACCAAGGAGTCCCCCAACTACGTGCAGACGCCTTACATATTTCCCTATCCCAACCCAAAGTGTTTGGTAGACGAGAGAAGTCAAAGTCCGACTACCAATTTTAGTAGTTTGTATAATCCTTCTTCATTGGAAGAAGAAACTAACATTGGCAAGCCCTACAGTAATGAGAATGGGAAGATAGATAACAGCTATCCTTCTTACTGCAACAATGCCGACCAAAATGTTTCTTCCAATTTGTATGATGATGCCACCAACAAAACTAGCAGAGGTCATGGAGGACCCCGAGGAGATTCAGTGTCTATGTTGGATGAGGAACATGGCATGGGAAAAATAAATGGCATGCCAATTTCTGATGCCATTGACCTTTAGAAAAAAACTCTATTCAAATAGCCAAACAATCGAGGCGGCAAGCTCTGATAATGAGCCAAATACTCCTGTTAAGACTTGTTGATAATAGATCGGCGATGGCATTGGCAAAGAACCCGGTGTTCCATTAGAGGAGTAAACACATTGATACGCGCTACCATTTTATTAGAGAGCATGTGAAGAATAGAGAAGTGAAGTTGGTGCATTGCAAGACTCAAGATCAAGTTGCCGACATTTTTACAAAGCCATTAAAGCATGATGTGTTTGGAAGATTGAAAATGATGCTAGGTATGAGAACCAAAGGAATTGAGTTTAAGGGGGGATGTTAGTTTTTAAAAACTCAATTTTTAAAAGGTAGTTTTTGTATTTTTTGGTTTATGATAAGTCATGGTGTTTGAAGAGATGGTCACTAGAAGTGTCCAGAATATTTTGGGAGGTCTATTCATGTTCTTGGGAGGCTTGTTCATGCATGGCTACATGGGAATTCGAACAGTTTTTTTTCTTGGGGACAGCCGGCCATGAAGTGGCCAATTCAAGGTGTTTTTGGCTAAGAAAAATCAGTATAAAAGGAGTGGAGTTGCTGCCCAAAAAGTAGAGTGTTTCTGTGCAGAAAAAAACAGATAAAAGAGAGTAAAAAAACAGTGTATTGCTGCCAGAAAAAACAGCAGCCTGTTCGAGAGCAGAAGCTCTGGCTGATAGCTTATTTTGTGAGTTGTTCTTGCTGGAAAAAAATTCAGATTAGCTTCCCCTTGTATTCCTTGATATTGTGATCATTTTTGATGAAATATAAAGGTGTTTCTTGAGTGAAATTAGTGTGGTAGTGGAGCAGATTTTTTATCCTCTGTTTTTGTGTTCTTTGGTGATCTATTTTGCTTCCAACTCCCAACACATGGGTCCTGGTTCCATGGAATGAATTTGAAATGCAAACCCAATGAAGGTTTGTGTAGCCATAATTCTTTGAACCCCAAAAAATGTTTTAACATTCTTGTTTTAGACTATCCATCATTCATATTTAATCATTGGGATTTGTTCATTGTCTTCTCCACCGGAAAGATTAAATTTCATTTTGTTTTATGCAACAGTTCCTGCCTCGTTCACAGATATGCTATATTTGGCTAGTCATTCATCATAAAAATTCTTATCATACTAACATTCTGAGTTTATGTATTATTCCACAACAAGAAGAAAACAGAATCTATATTTAGCAGCCTTAATCTTCTCTGCATGTTACATTAATCAATGCTTATGTTTAATATCTATCCATTGCAATGCAGGACAATACTTGTGGTGTCGTGACCAGTTATATTCATAAGATTTTCCAAACAACCTCTCGAGCCAAACCATCACATGGGAAGCTATGAGATATTAGGTGCATGATATAAACAAACAAAACAACATACTACTTCAAAAAATTGAGCTGCCACTAGCCCACATGGTTGGAACTGGATGGTTCAGAAGTTCTCGTTGCTGATGGTAAAGGATCTGAGCTTTCATTGCCTCCACTGACCGATCCATTTCGTTCAAAAAAAGATTCCAAATACTGAAATTTTGGATATGGAGGTGGAGTGATTTCCATTCCTCCTTCCAACATCTTCACCACAGTGCTCATCATTGGTCTTAATTCTGGCTGGTACTGAACACACCAAAGAGCCACCATGGACATTCTCTCTGCCTGCTCTCTGTCTCTCTCATCAATACCACAGAGCTTCAGCATCTCTGCTAAATCATCATTCTCAATCATTTCCCATGTCCATCTGGGAAGCCATTTTCGAGTATCGCTTAAGTTAGCTAAATAGTTTCTCCTCCTCCCCACAATCTCAAATAAGAGCATACCATAGCTATATACATCACACTTGTGAGTGACAGGATATGGTTTCCACAGCTCAGGAGCGGCATATCCTCGTGTTCCTCTTAGGCCGGTCATCATTACATGACTGCTTTCTCTACTACAAAGCTTCGCAAATCCGAAATCTGCAACTTTAGCATTGAAGTTTCGATCAAGAAGAACATTTTCAGGCTTTATATCGTAATGAATAATTCTCTGTTCGCAATCCTCATGTAAGTATGCTATTCCTTTAGCTGTTCCTACTGCAATATTATGCAACTTCCCCCACTCAATTTCCGAGTCACTGAACAAATATCTGTCGAGTGAACCCTTTTCCATGAACTCGTAAACTAGGGCTCTTATTGTTGGATCAAAACAGAATCCATAAAGTCTAACCAGATTCATATGATAAGTTCTTCCAATGGTACTTACTTCGGCCATGAACTGTTCTTCAATTTGCTATCCGGGTTGTTATTAAGCTTTTTGACAGCAACTTGCACTCCATCTGGGAACTCTCCTTTAAACACTTCTCCAAAAGCACCAGAACCCAATTCAGTGGTGAAGTTTTGAGTGAATTCTTCAAGTTGCCGACGTGAAAACCTTTTGGGTTTTTCTTTGGCAATTGTGCTGAGAAGTCTCTCCATGGAAGTGACCCGAGGGCCCCGAGCTCTTGGGTAATCAGGTGGTATAGCCACCACAACGCTGTCGCTTCTAGGAGGAATTGCAATATCTCCCAGAAGAGATTCCTGATCCGTGGTACTGATCGGGGCATATCCAGGAATGGCTATTCCTGCTTTCTGCAAGCATTTGATTACTTGATGCACTACGATAAATATTGCACTTGCAATCATCATACCAGCAGATACTGTAAAATAAGTGGAATATTGAGATCAGCATAGCGAAAAACTTGGGCATATAAAATAACATATCAAGGAAATCATTTGGTTTTAAGAGCTTACTAAAAAAAGCTATTGCCATCAATGTTCTCATGAAATCGAAGTCCTCATCGAATGAAGAAGTCATTCTTACAAGTAGCTGAGAAGAAAGAAGATGGTGAGGATGAAGAAGTGTTTTGAGGATTTTGATCTGTTTAGGAATGTGTTTTCTTTTCCAGGTTTGACTCTATTTTTGCCTGACTCACAAAGCGTTTTCGTGCATATATTTCTACGTTTATTTGGTACCGTCGCTACTCTTGTCTATGATAGCCGATTGAACTTAACAATACATTTAGGGACAGAATACCAAAAAGCATATGAGTGCAGTCAAGCAAGGGAATTGCAATGGTTAGCAAAAGTGAAAAATGGAAAATGACATACAAAATAGCAAATATGACTTTATTGAATTGTTTAAGGGTATATTAAAAAAATAAAAGTTTTTCACTTCGAGTGTTTTTTATTAATAGTATAGATATAGATACAATAAAGAATGACAATTTAAATTCTAAAAAATAAATAAAATAATTTTGTTTTTCACAATTGAAATCAATTTAAATTTTATTTTAAAATTAATCCGACATTTAATATTAACTCCATAAATTTAATAGATAAAATAAATCTTAGAACTTTTGGGTTGACTTTTCAAAAGTGTTTTCTGAGATTTACGACTCTGATAAACACTTTTAAAAAAAATATTGTTTATAACAACTTATTTTAATTACTTTTAAATTAAGTTCAAAAATAGTTTTACCACTTAAATAAGTAACTAAAAGTAAAAAAAAAAATAACTTCCACTTCTTTAAAATCTCTTCTCTACAAAACACTTCACTACCTCCACCGGCCCACCAATCTATTGTTGTCATCGTCACCCACCACTGATTGTTACCACCGTCGTTTACCCTTACCACCCACCACCCACCGCCCACCGCTATCATTATCTTATTCTTATATTTATTATTATTACTACCATTGTCGCCCACCGCCACCACCCATCACCATCATTGTTGTCCCCACCACCACTGTCGTCGTCGCCCCACTAGCACCATTACCAATCACTATTATCGTCACCCACCACCACTATTGTCGTCACTCATGACTGTCACTACCACCGTCGTCATCCAAAACTAACCACCACTATCATTATTGCCACCACCACCACAGTCGTCGTCGTCCACCACAACTATCACTATCAACGCTCACCCTCTACAACCAGTGCTAAAATTTATATCTCTCTCCTCGACATTTGTGATTTGATTTTAAGTGTGAGTACAAATATATTTATGATTAACAATATTTTTTATTACTCTATATCTCCAGTCTCAGACAATAACTAGTATATATATATTACACCTTTTGTTGTATTGCATTTTAAAGATATAAATTATATCTTTTTTCATATTATACCTTCAATTATTGAATTTGAGTTTCACTACTGCCCCAATTCTCAACTACAGTTATTTTTTTGGTGGAATCAGGTAAAGTTGGAACTCCACAGTGATAAAAAATGATGTATTTTCCTAGAGTTCCATTTTTGCTCTCATTTGTCTTAAAAAATTTGCCAAATGTCAACTGTTATGGCAATGTCAAACTCCAACCAAAGGTTTAAGGTATAATGTGTGAGAAAGAAAATAGTTCGAGAAACAATGCCAAACAAAAGACTTATTAGTTTAGATGATCGAAGTATAATTGGTTATTTTTCCAACTAGGAAGCTTCCAAGCAGTTTAAATGATTTAAGAATAGTTAATAATACTTTTAACCCCTAAAGAATGCATATTTTGTCATTTTGATTTTGATTGTATCAATTTAATCTCTAAAATATTCAATTTACATTTAAATAGTCTATACACAAATTTTTCAAGAAAGTGATTACGTGATACTATTTGAAAAAATAATACGTGATCACTTCTATCAAAAAACTTAACAGACCATCTGATTATGAATCATTTAAATACGAATTTAATATTTTAATAACTAAATTGATACAATTAATATATGGAAGACTAAAATGATAGAAACGCGCTATTGACCCATCCAAGTACAATTGGCTTTTTTTTCTAACCATGCAGCTTCCAAGCAAATTAACTGAAAATGGCACTTTAACGACTAAAAGTCTAAAAATGCTATTGACCCAACTAAGTACAATTGACTTTTTTTCTAACCATGAAGCTTCCAAGCAAATTAACTGAAAATGACCTGTTTGACTTATCTAACATCTTACACCGATTTTAACTCTTTAATATTTGATTTATCATTTACTAAGTAATAAACTATGAGCTTGAATGTGTGATGGATGCACCAAAAAAATACAAAGAAATGTAGAATTTGGCAAATTCCATATGTAGATCCTTTCACATTTAAAATTAACACGCAGATCCCCTATAATTATACGAAATTAAAGTTTGTCATATACTTATCTCTTTTATAATCTTGTATAATCAAGTTTGTATCGTATAAAACTATGATTAAGATGATGATATATTCGAAAACAAATCACATTTTCAAGGCAAAGTTCATTGTACATAACAAAATATTCTATAGTAGATGCACGCTGTCTTGTGTGAAATGACAATAGTTTCTTAGTAGCTTCCATAAAAGACAAAGAGAGGTTCAAATCATTTTAAGACAAAATATAAACAAATTCAACGAACAACATAATTCCAACATAAAAGACGGTTCAGATCTTTCAAAAATTTTGATCTAACAGTCTATAATGAGTATTAACTTTTATTTTCCCGCCCAACAATTCTAAGAGACCTTTCATTCTAAGACTCTGAAGTCTCTATCTAACTTAAAATACATCTCTTCCGGTCTCATAGTCTAGTTGTTAATTCTCCCGTATTTTTCTCATCTCTCACTCTTGTGTTGCCCTATTCTTTCTTGCCCCTCTCTTTTCTCTTCTCTCTCTACAAGCCGGAGCTACCAAAGACCAACCGCCCAATAACCATCGAAACCACCACCAAGGTACTCCTTCCTTCCCTCATTCTCCCTATGCTTCTTATCCCCTACCCACCTCCACGACAACCACCAGCGAGCTTTAAGGGAACCACCAACGACACCAACCACAACCCCCTAACCACCTCACATCAACCCCCATCAAAACCCCCAAACCAACCCCACCACTAAACCCCTAAACCACCGCCAAACCAGCCCCACTAAAATCACTCCAAGATCACAGCATCTCCGACCACACCGAAACCCCCAAACCCTCAAATGAGCCCCATTGAAACCCCCAAACTAGACCCACCACCGAACCCCTAAAACACCACTAAATCATCCTCACCGAAACCAGTCCAAGATCGCAGCATCTTTGAACCACACACTTACATACAAATTTCAAATTACTTTGTGTATGTATTTTGTGTTTGGTTTGTGTAACTTTGTTTGGTTTGGATTATTTTATATATTAAATTATTTTTAGGCATGTATTCATTCGGGTGTTGATTGAATTTGATGATGATGATTTTTTTTTTCTTTTTTGTAGTTGATTGAATTGTTTTATGAGACTTGCGATTGGTGATGGGAGTTTGCTAATTTTGATTTGGATTTCTTGGTTTTTTCAGGGATATGGGTACACTCTACTATGCAGCAACAAAGCTTTTGAAGTGGAACTATGAGTCAGAGGTTGATATATGGAGTACTGGTGTGATTCTTTATATTTCGTTATGTGGGGTTCCACATTTTTGGGCAGGAATTATTCATTGCCATTAGTATATACCTTCACTTTTTCTAAAATATCCTTTTTGATTTACTATGTTTCTAAGTACACAATTTGTTAGATTAAAGTTTTTGGTTAATGCAATATTTCAGAAAACAAATTTTTACAGAATGTGATCTTAAATCATGTGTTTCACCAAACTGAGATGAATTTTTTCATGGCCAGGTAGTATCAATGTTTGGAGATTTTAGGGTTTTTAATTCCTATTTGTTTAAAGTGTAGCAATCTTCTTTGATTGCGAATCTATTTTATTTCAATGAATTTGTGTTGATTTTGGCTCCATTATGAGTACTGATCTGACAAAGTGTTTTTAAGTTTTTATTGAATGTCATGTATTTCACTCTGATTCATAATATCAATCTATCATAAAGCCCCCATGACGCTGTATATGACAATTTTATGAGCCCTAGAATATGAAGTAGAGAGCTACAAATCTGATTCAATCAGGAATTGGATATCTGATGTGATCAGAGACTGAAAATCTAATCTAATCCGAAAACAATGAATATGGGTGCTTATACATTTTACATTTGTATAAAAGTGGGCATAAGCTCTATTACTTCTGCTTTGTGAGAACTCTTTGTAATCTTCTTGATCATGTATATAGCGACTTTTGGTCGAAATGTTTCGTCCATGAACGTAGGCTTTTGAGTTGAATCACATAATCCTGCATGTTCTGTGTTTTTATGTGTCAGTTTTACTTCTTTTTTTTTTGTTTATGATGAATGGAAATTAATGAAAAAGAAGCAAATATTGTGATCATCCTCCCCCTTATCAATTGTATTTTTAGTCTTCACTACTATCCTGCTAGAGGATACTTATTATGTTCTGCTGATATGAGCCTATTCAAAATATTTGAATAGGCATTGGCATCACTCAGTTTGGTACTGTAATCTCCTCAAAATCATGTTACTTCACCATAACTAAGTATTTGATAAATTATAATGGTAAAAAATCATTAGTAGGTAACAGTTAGCCTGTAAGGAAAAAAAAAGGCAATGTAATAGACCAGATAGACAGGGTCTAGGGAGTGTCAAATATATATAAACTTATCCTGATTTACGGAGAGACTGTTCATGTGAATTCGAACCTGTATGTGACCCTACAGTCACAGTAGAGTTACGACAATGATTTGTTATAAAGATTAATATTGAGGTGGAGCCTGTGTCTTTTGCAATAACCATCACAGTTCTTATATTTCATTATAATCCTTGAATGTCAATGGTATAAATTTTTTTCTAAGTTCCCCTTTTAAACAAAAGAGCAATTATGTTCTGTTAGCTAGGTGCTGTTTTTCCTTTGTGACATGCTTCTTCTTTAGGTTGTTATTGAATGTCAACAAAATGCCTATATAAAAACTAGAACACCGGAAAATTTGACAACTAACTTTTAAGTTGATTTGAAATTTTTTTTTCAGGAACTTTTGTCAAATTCAAATGAAATGGGGTTCATGCATAGCATAGTGTGAGTAATAAAGTGTAAAGGTAAAAACATTTGTATAGAATTAAAATACTGTTTTGCCAAATTGCTCATTCGACCAACATGTTATATTAGAAAAGCTTTTGTGAATGAAAATTAGAAAGTTTGTGTATATTTTTGTCATTCTACTGTTTGACCTTGCAATTTTTGTTTCTTTTTTTTAATCAGTTCCTTTATTTGTGGTTGTGCATACTTCACTAATTTGTATGCACCTAGCTTTGTGTAGTTCATTCAAGAGTTTCAATTACTAATTTAGGGAGTTTTTGGTTATTATTTGGTTGTTTAGTTGCCACTATGACTACTTTAAATCAAGCTTAATGGGTTTTATAGTTATTCAAGAGTAAAAATTGATGTTTAATCAAGCCTAGAATTTTTTGTTGTTCCATGGAGGAAATGATGTTGCATTGCTATAAATAATTCTCCTCTATGTAATATTATAAGATGAAATGTGTATGCGTGATGATCGTGAGTATTGAGTTATTATGTGCAGATTTAATAGGATTAAAAATATTGACATGATAGTCAATTATAGTTATTTAAGTTCAACTCAATTAGTATTTGTGGGTTCTATGATTTCTTTTGTGGTTACTAATTTTTTTTTCCCATTTTCTAATATTTGTGGGTTTGATTTTTTATTCGGGCAATTTTGTTGTGTCACACAGTGCCTTCAGACACGGGCATTAGCTAGTCTATATAATAAAGTAGAGCTGAGTTTGAATCCAATAGACAAAGAGAGGTCCAGATCGTTTTGAGACAAAACTTAAACACATCCAACGGACAACATAATCTCAACATAAAAGAAAATTCAGATCATCTCAAAAATTTTGATCTAACGATGTAAAGTGATTATCGAATTTAGTTTTCCCGCCCAACAAAATTCATGTTTAAATTATAAGGGTTTTTTGCATGACTGACACCTCTCTCTCCTCTGATTCCCCCAAATCTTCCCCCAAAATCTCTCTCAGAATCTTTCTCAATCTCATCCTCTGCCTTCCAAACTCATCTCCCAAAATCTTCCCTTGCTCATCCCTAAAATCTCCAAAATCTCTCACGCCGAGGTATCTCAGTATTTGCTCTAACAATTTATCTACTCCCTTTCTCTCTGGAGTCCAACTCCGAACCCAAATATTTCGGCATTCAGCACAACTCTCACCCTGCTTTCCCATAAATCACCCATATTTTCTTTCTCCCCATCTTCTTTGTCTCTCTTTTATATTTGCTCTCACACACCCACACTAGCTGCCGCTATCATGGGTCTCTAAAGAAAATCGAAGCTGACGATGGCATCTTTGTCAAATCTCCTCTTTCTCCCTCTTCTCTCTTACTGCACTCCTCTCACTCTCTCTGTGTTGGAATCGAAAGTGTGGGTCTAGCATTTCAACTGTTTATATGCTGCATATAAGTTGTTTGTTGAAATGCTTTTCAAAAGAGTTTTCTTCTCTCTCAACGGTGAAGTTTCCAGAACAACTCGACCACCTCCCAGCACCACCAATCTCTACGGAAATATTTTTTTTTTCAATTTTGTTAAGATTTTAATTAATTTATTGGTTTGGTGAACTTTGAATGCTACTGATGTGCAATGTCAGTTTAAGGAGAATTCAAGTACATATGAAGTATGATTGATCAGTTGAGGATTCCATATGCAACATAAAACCCAACTCCATATTTGTAACCTTCAGATAGCTAATTGAGCCATCAACATAATGCATGTGTCTCCTCATGTGGGCAATGTCATTTAATCTACTTGGGGTCTTATTTATAAACAAGTAGTAGTTTTTACTGGTTGCGTTTGTTGTAATATTTTTTTTGGGCTATTCCTTACAGGGTCAACTTTGGTCCACTCAGTGTACAATGTCAATTTGCTTTTGCTTTTACTTTGGATGCTACTGATGTGCAATTATGTCCATGTCTAATCTTTCAGACTATTTTATTATATTGGATGGTCTAAGTTAATATATTTCTAAGTTAAAATTTGAAACTTTTATCAATCTTATCGCATATTCTCTTTTTTACTCTTAGACCCCTCTGTTTTTCACCACTTTTTTTGGGGCTGTGATGTGGTATGATAAATTCGATCAGGTTATGTTCACTGATCCAAATACCCTGGAACAAGAGGAATTTGTGGAGACACAGTACTACAAAGAGTTGGATTCTATTGACAAACAACACTACGCGGTGCAAAACTTATTTTCCTTTCCTTTTTATTTTAGTTGTTGTAGGTTTTTATATTTAGCATGTTTCGTCTGGTGAAACTAAAAAGACATAATTTTCTGACATAATTTATTAATTCAGTTAATCATGATCGATCGATCATTGAATTGACAGTTGATCTCACTATTTATTAACATATGTAGTCAATTTGATGATCTTGTAATGATGTATTTGATTTGTAGATTATGTACAAATGATATTGTTGATAGGAGATTTTTTTTTTTTCTTTTTCACGTTGAACAGACTGGAAGTGGGTTTATAAAGGTAGTGAGTGAAAAGAGTGAAGAAGAATATGCCCTTCAGTTGCCAGGAGCTGAAGAAAACATTAATGGAGGATACAGAAAAATGGTATTTAAAACCAACCTAGCAACAAACGATTGGATCCCAAGTCTCGAAGATGATCAAGTACTCTTTTAATCTTGATTATTCTATGCCAAATTGTGTTTTTTTTTATAATTTAATAGCATTGTGTGGTGGTATAAAATCATGGCCTTTGCAATGTTGTGGTAGTTATGGTTATGCTTAGATTTAGGATTTGGGTGGTAGTTTTGTTGTGAAGATCATGGTTATTATGACTTAAAATTAAAATATAACAATATTATTTATAACGTACGGCTATGCTATCCCTCATTGAGATGGGTTATTACCTAACTTAATTTTTTCTTCAGGTATCATGGAATTTCTCGGGCAATATGTTTCATATATGTAATGATTTAAACTTTTTGTTATTTTGCCTCAATGAAAAAAAAGACTAACGTTTATAACTGGTATGTTTTGCCCCCAATAATTATAACTTTTTTTTATATATATTTTTGCAGTTTTAGACGTATAAATGAGGTAAGATTTTAAGTTTATACACAAGTATATGCAAGGTATATCCACAATTTCTTGACTTTTGGTGAGATTGATCAGGGCAGAGAAAAGACAACAAAAATGCTGAAGATTATGGGAGGAGTGGAGGAGATAGTCGGGAATACTCTCACTGCCTATAAGGCAGCACATGATAGGTTGGTTTTTGTGATTTTTATTGGCACAAGTGTTTTGATGTGAATTTTTTTTGGTGGTTATGGTAATTGTTAAATATGCTAAAGAATTTTCCTGGTTGCAGGTTTGATTTGGATTTGCGCTTATTTGGTGAATGTGTAAATTCCTGGTGATATGGTGATCCACATTATTTGATTTGTGAGTCCAAGATTTAGTGGTGGTATGTTCAATATCAATTGATTTAGTAAGGTTAAAATTTTCTTGATTTAATATTATGTTCATTGATTTGTGGCTTGGAAGCATTCTTAATGTCACAATGTATATGACTTTGCATAAAGATTGTCTTTGGTAGTATATAGAGTTGTTGTATAAATGTCTGTTTGATTTGTATAGCCATCCTGAGCTGATTTGTATTGTGACAACCAAATGTTATTTGGTTACACATGCTTAGTATCCATATTATCAAAAGACACTCCCAATTAAAATCCATGTTACATCTTGAGACTCATTATCAACAGGTCTCTTGAAAAATTATGAGGAATGTAATGATATAGTGTTAAAGTCTATGTGTCAATACATGGGATATTTATTTATATTTGGATAAAAATGTCATTGTCCGTAAATTGCACAGGTCTATCACTAGGATTGTAGCGTGATTGTGAATTAGTAATTAGTTTGATGTATGTTTCTTTAAATAAAGGTTTGTAACAATTACTAATTCATTTAAATAAGTGTTAAACCCAAGTTAAAATCGTTGAGTATTCATATTTTAAGAGGAAATTTTATTGTTTTTTTTAAAAATAGTAGTTCCATATTGATCGACAAAGTTTTAGGTTATACAGTGCCTCGAAGCATGGGAAATTGTTTGAATTTTTTTTGTTTCTCCATACCTTCACGTACGGGCAATTACTTGTATTCATATGGAAAACGAGAATCTGTCAACAAATAACCAAATGGCTGACTGCTTCGAGGATACGAGGAGGGTAAGTGCTGAACCTCCCGAGCTCTAGCCCCAACTTTTCCTCCAATATAAGATTCGATTGTACCTCATATTTGGGAATTCCTAGGAAATGATTTAAGAAAATGGTGGATTGTTGGTTTGTTTACGAAGAGCAGGTCTAAGTATATTTTGGTAGTTTTCTATAATATCAGGTTTTAATAAGTTTATTTGACGGTCTCAAATAAATTCATCCAACGGCCATTCATATTGTACCATATTTTTATGCACATGTTACCCCTTGTTGATAAAAAAAACATAACAAATTACAAATTGCATGTCATTGTTTGAAGTAGAGATAGTTTAGATTTTTATATGTTTCAGGGTATCTAAGCTTGTGCCGACTATTTTTTTTAACTTTGAGTCGGTCACCGTAACTTGACCTAGTTTAAAGATAGTTTAGATCAAAAAATTTACCTCTATGTCTGCACTTTCAACCCAAACTACAGGAAATTATGCATTTTTTTAATATAGAGGGGTAAAATATCACTTAACTCAAATAACAAGTAGGTAAAATAGAATTTACCCACAAAACCCAACAAATTCGAAGATAATAAACCAGTATAGTCGTCAAATATGTCACCATCAAGTCCTTCAAATGATCTGTTAGTTGTAAGAAGCCTCCGTCCCCTAATAACCTGGAGAGAAAAGACATATTTCCGTAATGTAACAAAAAGAAAATAACCAAACCAAAGACAAGTAATCTCTCTTCATCGCTACATATAACACCTCCATTGTCTCAAACTCTTGAGTTAACTGAAAAATAACGGTAACAATACATTAACAGGCATCTAATATACTAGGTGATTGCTCACCGAGGGTAGCTTAGCAAAATAAAAAATAAAAAATGGGTAACTTGAAAAATTACAGAGCCCATGGCCTACGTAACAACAACAATATGTTAGCCACCACAGCAGAACAGCATAAAACTCGAGACGACCAGATCCCAGTACGTGAAGATAGACATCTTCATACAACGATAGGCAATTGTATTATTTAATATGTTACATGCAATTGACAGAGTTAGCTCCAGGTGCACATTAGTATGAATTTATATATTTTAGGGTGTAAATTAATATTTTTAAATTTTAAAGGTATAAATTGAGAATTGAGTGATCTTTTCGGGTGCAAGTTGAGATTAACTCTTATTTTTATGGAAAATTGACTTGTCATTATTTTTTTGGTCAAGTAACATTCTTCCTCCCGTGGAAAGGTCTACAAATTTTATTTTTATTAAATTAAAACAACACCGCCAAGTTGTATTGATAACCAAGAAAACTCTGGACAAGAAGCAAGTTTCAATAGTCTCCAAGACAATTGAGCCATCATTGTGGGGAGGGTAAGGAGCATCCAGCGGCCTTTCATTCCCTTGTTCCGTGGTTTACCAGGTGCTTCTAAGAATGCCTACTCCAACATATTGGTCTTATGATGATCAGAAGGGCATTTTTACCTTGGACAGAAAGTCTTCCTCTGACAGCTTCGATTCATCTTTTAAGTCGTTCAGTGAGATCTTAGATTCATCTGTAAAATGGGCGACAATAGCTTCTATTGGTAATGTTCTACAACCTAATAAATTTCTTGCTTGATTGTCAAAGTTTGCTATTAGATGATCTCTATATGATAGTATCAAAAAGAAATCCGTCAATCCCTTGTTAGAGATACGATGGATTGATATTTATCTTTATTTTATATAATTTTTCATCCCATGAGTCGTGGGACAACTAATCATAAGGTACGTTTGAAATGCCCAGGTAATCATCAGTGATGGCAGTTCATATTTTTGTAATAGATCATTTGAAACTTGAATGCATAAATATGATATCACACACACAAATTGTCCACCACTTATCACCCACACACCAACGGCTAAGCTAAGTTGGCCAATAGGAAAAATAAGCACATATTGGAGAAGATGGTGAACCTATTGTAAGAATTGATCACTTCGATTGGCTGATGCCTTGTGGGCATAACTTAAACCATTTGATGTAGCTTTCTTAGGTTTATGGTACAAATGTAGGTTTCGTAGACCGACCTACATATATTCATTATTTTCTTCTTCTGTTTTTTTTACCTTTAATTTCTCTAATATCTCTCAGATTATAAATTTCTTCAATCTCAATGTTCAACTTTCAGTTTCTGGAGTGGTGATAACCGTTGCAATTGTGGCTATAGTATTTGCAATAATTGACTGCTTGAAGAAAACAGGAAGCGCAATTCCAATGTACGCCCGGATAGCCACCAATGAGAAAATGAAGGCTACAGAGCAACCTCTTACAAGCGACAGCGTCGCAGTGGCTATACCACCCAATTACCCTTTGATTATGGACTCGCAGGTTCAAGGAGCTACTGAGGAGAGAATTCTCTGCAACATTGCCAGAGAGAAGCCCATCGCGTTTTCGCGTCAGGAGATTGAAGAGAATTCACCAAAGACTATACCAAATTGGGTTCTGGTGCTTTTGGAGTCGTGGTTCAAGGAGAGTTCCCAGATGGACGGCAAGTGGCTGTCAAGTTGCTTCACAATAACCCGGACATGAGAATCGAAGAACAATTCATGGCTGAAGTAAGCACTATCGGAAGAACTTATCATTTCAATCTGGTGAGACTTTATGGATTCTGCTCTGATCCCAAAATGAGGGCACTTGTTTACGAGTTCATGGAAAATGGTTCCCTAGACAAATTTTTGTTCAGCGACTCGGAGATGGAGTGGGGGAAGCTACACGAGATTGCAATAGGAACAGCCAAAGGAATAGCATACTTACATGAGGAATGCCAACAGAGAATTATTCATTACGATATAAAGCCCGAGAATGTTCTTCTTGATCGAAACTTCAATGCGAAGGTTGCAGATTTCGGATTGGCCAAGCTTTATAGTAGAGAAAGTAGTCAAGTATTGATGACAGGCTTTAGAGGAACACGAGGATACGCCGCCCCTGAGCTGTGGAAGCCCATCCAGTAACCCACAAGTGTGATGTATACAGCTATGGTATGCTCTTATTTGAGATTGTGGGGAGAAGGAGAAACCATTTACCTAACTTAAGCAATTCTCGACAATCGCTACCCCGATGGACGTGGGAACTGTTTGAGAAGGATAAATTACCCGAGATGCTGTCGCTCTGTGGTATCGAAGAGAGAGACAGAGAGAAGGCAGAGAGAATGTCAATGGTGGCTCTTTGGTGTGTTCAGTTGCAGCCAGAAGCAAGACCAGCTATGAGCACCGTAGTGAAAATGTTGGAAGGAGAAATAGAAATAACACCACCTCCGTATCCAAAATTTCGGAGTTTGGAATATCGTCTTGGTCGCTTTGGCTTGGCCAGTGGGACAACTTCTGAACCATCCTCTTCCAACCATGTACAGGGAACACTGGGGATAGAGTCATCTACTTAGTTGACTGACACAATCAATTGTATGTCGATTACAATCCAACAAGGTGTTCAACAAAAAGTATACCACAGATACACTCGCCACGGCAGAGTTTCAAGAAAGATTAGATGTACATAATTTTGCCTCTGTTAGTGGAGAGAGTTTTTACTAGTTGAACCCTTGACATTTAGATTGCAAAATAATTAATGTTTTTTTTTTTTGGTCTTCTTCTTTTGTCTTCTAAAAACAATTAGATTTGTGATGTGTGGACATCTTTCTTCTTATGTAACAGATGTCGATGTTGTACAAGCATATGAAATGGATGTATTTAAAAACGATGTATTTGTACAAGCATATGTAATTGTAATCCACAAGAGAATGCCGAACCACCCTAGTTTTAAAAATCATGTGCGATAAATCCGAAGTATGTTATAATTCAATCAGTTATGCTGTTAATGTTATTATTACAACATTAACATTACTTTTAAATACATGGGTGGACTTCATGTAGGCATAGGCTACGTGAAGTCCACCCATTCGGAATGAGGAGAAGTGTCCTCGTAGCTATGGAAATTGAAAATATCAACCTTCAAATTTTATTTTATCACGTACGGATTACTATCTGTATATATTACCCAAGTATTAAACAAAAATAATTGTATAATCCTTAAGTAATTTCTAGCAAATTTAACTTTCGTATAAGCGCTTTGTTCGAGATTTAGTAAATAAAACAACATTTTGAGATAGCAAAAACGCCACCAAAATTGCTCCTCTGTTCTTCTTCTTTCTTTTCTTTTTCTTATTCCCCTCCTTTTCTTCTTCTCTGGAGAAACTTGCCTTTTTCAATTTATTTTTTAAAAAATCGAATCACTTAAATCTTTATAGATAATTTAAGCAAAAGAGTTATGTATTTTTCGATACCAATTGTCATATGTCCACTCTATTAATTTTATGGAATAATGAATTTAATGTTTATAACTGATTGCACAAATCAAGTACCACGAGTATTGTATTTTGCCCACAAAAAGAAAAACAATACAATTTAGATAGAACATACAAACATAAATTAATTAATCCAAAAATGTATGGGGAACTAAGTAGCTAATTCTATCTCTAATGTTCCCTCTATAGTGTTGGAATATGATGGTTCTTCAGAAGTTCTTCTTGTTGTTGGTGAAAGATCTGAGTTTTCATTGCTTCCACTGTCCAATCCATTTTGTCCAAAAGATTCAAAACGCTGAAATGGATATGGAGGTGGAGCGATTTCAGTTTCTCCTTCCAACATCTTCACCACAGTGCTCATAGTTGGCCTTGCTTCTGGCTGGTACTGAATACACCAAAGAGCCACCATTGACATTCTCTCTGCCTTCTCTCTTTCTCTCCCCTCCTCGATACCGCAAAGCTTCAGCATCTCGGCTAATTCATCCTTCTCAACCATTTCCCACGTCCATCTGGGAAGCCATTCTCGAGTCTCGCTTAAGTTAGCATCAAGGTTTCTCCTCCGTCCCACGATCTCAAATAACAGCATACCTGTTTACACCCAAAAAAAACCGTAAATTCATGAGATATCGATACGTGACATAACAGATTGAGACAATTAGTGACTGAGCAATACCATAGCTGTATATGTCACACTTGCAAGTAACAGGATATGGCTTCCACAGCTCAGGGGCGGCATAACCTGGAGTTCCTCTGAGGCCAGTCATGATTACTTGACTGCTTTCTCGATTGCAGAGCTTGGCTAGTCCAAAATCTGCAACCTTTGCATTGAAGTTTCGATCAAGAAGAACATTCTCAGGCTTTATATCATAGTGAATTATTCTCTGTTGGCATTCTTCATGTAAGTATGCTATTCCTTTAGCTGTTCCAATGGCAATCTCATTCAGCTTCTGCCACTCAATTTCCGAGTTTTTGCTGAACAATAATCTATCAAGTGATCCCTTTTCCATGAACTCATAAACAAGTGCTCTGATTGTGGGATCGAAACAGAAACCATAAAGTCTTACCAAATTCATATGATAAGTTCTTCCGATGGTGCTGACTTCAGCCATGAACTGTTCTTCAATTCTCTTATCCGGGTTGTTGGTAAGGACTTTGACAGCAACTTGTACTCCATCAGGGAACTCTCCTTTAAACACTACTCCAAAAGCACCAGAACCCAATACAGTGGAAAAGTTTTGAGTGAATTCTTGAAGCTGCTGAGGTGAAAACCTTATGGGTTTCTCTCTGGCCATCTTGCTGAGGAATCTCTCCATGGTAGCTCCTCGGACCTCTGAGTCTCGAATCACTGGGAAATTTGGTGGTATATCCACCGCTAAGCTGCTGCTTGTAGGAGGTGAATTTGAAACTTTATCGTTGTCACTGGTGGCTATCCGGGCGTACGTTGGAATTGCGCTTCCTGCTTTCTTCAAGCAATCAATTATTGCAAGTACAATGGCAACAATTGCAACGGTCATCACCACACCAGAAACTGGAAGTTGAATATTAAGATCAGCAAAACGAAAAGTTTAACAAAAAATTGGCAGAGACTCCCGCCACTGCGAGGTCTATGCAGCCTTAACACAGAATGCAAAGAGCGATTATTTTCATGACTCAAGCCCTTAATGCCCAGGTCACAATTGCTAAAACTCACTCACCCAAAAAACAAAAAAAGAACTTTTAACAATTAAAGAGAATTAAGCAAATAATTTATTGGGTTGGAGTAAATTACTAATAGAAGCTGTTGTTGCCCATTTTACAGATGAATCAAAGGTGTCAGTGAATGAGTTTGTGTCACTTGGCGGAACTTGGTCGAAGGTGACACTGCCCTTCCCGTCATTAACCAGCCAAAACGTTGGAGGAGTCATTCTTACAAACACCTGGTGAGCATGAAGAAGTGTTTTTGAGGAATTTTTGTTGAGATGGGAATGTGGTTTATCTTGAGTTTGGCCTTAGATTTAACTACCCAACAACGCGTTTTAGGTGTAGCTTTTTTCTAAATAGAAGGCTTCCAAGCAAATTAACTGAACACGACGTGCTTGACTTTGCATGCACACCTTTATAGAAAAAAAGGTCAAGAATTTGCATTGTTGACCAATCTTCACTCCCCTCCCCCCACCTTGCCATCCCCTATCCCACCCTTATCTGGGGGAGAGAGAGAGATTTCAGGTTAGGGATGGAAGATTTGAGGATTTTCAGACCCAACTACATTATTAAAGTATATGCAGTTCCACCTTATCTCATGGTATGTGGTCATCTATCGAAGGATCTTTATAATGATAAAAGATTGCGAGAGGCTATCATTTCCTTAAAAAAAAATTATTTGATTCAAATTCGGGTATTGAACTAAATTTGATTAAGGGTACAATACATATAACCAAATTTCCTAAGTTCTGATTTTTGTGGGGAGTGTTTATTTTATAAATTGATCTAACCATATGTTAAAGATTTCAATTGCTAGAGGTACTATTGCAATTATTGCAACTGATCATTATCATATACCAGAAACCGGAAGTTGAAGCTTCCGTGTTCGAATTTTGTCACATTAGGAAATTATAAAATTAATGGTAAGTCAATCATTCAGAAATCAATCTTGAGTCAATCGCACATCTTGTAATGAGATACACTACTGACAATTGCATATTCATTCCCCCGTGTTTTTGGTCAAGTTACACAAAGTCTTTGTTTATGTTTAAGAAATATGAACATAATAATTGGGCCTCTCATGGATGGGATTTTGTTTGATGTGCGTCATATTAAAAAATTCATTCTTAATTCAATCAAGGTATACTACGAATTTCAATTTTATAATTTGTATCGGGTTAATTATAATTTATCCCTTTTAATTTTGGGTTATATTACAATCAAATTCCTTTCAATTCAATAATTAGCCCCTTTTAAAATTTTCAATAGATTATATTAGCTAATGAGATGGATGAAAAATAAAAAATGAAAACTAAAGGCTATATTTTGGGCTTAGCACGTGAATTTTGTTTTTAATAATTAGAATGACAGCGAGATTTAAAAACAGAACATCCTGTTTTGTTAAAAACTACCATGTTAGTGTAAAATTCCAGTGATCGACCTTAACCTCATTTCCCACATCCTTAAACAACATAAAATCAACCTACATAAAACCCCAATTCTTATACTCCCAAAAATGATTATTGGCATCTGACCAACACACAACATATGTAAGAAGGAAAGATTTAGTTTTAAGCAAGAGATTACAATTGTGAAATGCTAATCATTCACCGATTTAGAATCAGCTTTGTGGTTGGATGGAAAGAAATTGAAATGGAAAAAAAAATCAGCAATTGAGAAGCAAAAATTAGAGCAAACTGATCAAAGAAGCCTGTGTCTGTGTCTGCATCATCATTCCTTTCTTCGCATCAATGTAGGTTTCACAGGGGCAGGGGGTCCTAGGGTCTTGGGCGATGGTGCGTGGGTGTTGAGGCCTGGGCAATGAATGTAAAGGCACCTGTCACTTGTAAAGCTTTTGATCAATAAAATTTTTTTACCATCCGAAAACAAATATTTTCGTAGAATTGAGGGCACTTTCTTCACTATGTGAAAGATACAATTTCTCATGGCCTTTATCTTCATGCGCACAACCCTCCTGAGTTACTTGGTTACAGTGCTACTAATTAGGTTACATGCTCGGATACTTGTTTGGTATACCATTTTTCTTGGAGTTGATTTCATTTCTTAGAGCTCAAAGAAAAGACCAACAGTTGCTCGTTCTAGTGCAGAAGTCTAATATCACTCTTGCTTATGCTACTGCGAACATGACTTGGATCACTTATCTTCTCCAAAATTTGAAGTTCTCTTCACCCAAGACTCCTACATTGTTTTGTGAGAGCAACAAACAATCCCGCGTTTATGGCTTCCAATCCCACGTTTCATGCGTGCACAAAACATATAGAGCTCGATTACTATTTTGATAGGGAAAATGTCACATCTAATTCATTACGTGTTCATTTCAAGTCTTTAGCTCATCTACTCGCCGACAGCTTCACGAAGAGCCTTCCTAGTACTCAAGTCGCCACCTTTGCACAAGAGTTTGGTGTGAAGACCCTCACCTTATGGGGGGATGTTAAGCATAATTAAGGATGCACATGCATATTCAATTCAAAGATGTAACAAATCATGGTAGGGTTACGAAAGAGAGATAGAGTGGTAAGATTGTAGTTTATCTTATTCATCTGATAACCAACATCAAGCTGCACATAAAGACAGTGTTTTACAATGTGAGTCCACACACATAGAGTAATTCAAAGAGCATTCCTAAGTAGAGGCTATTTCGATTTCATATCGCCTCATTGTAGGTGTTCCAATTACAAAGGCAGATCCTGTTACCGTTTGAGATGAACTTGAAAATTCACTGGCATCCCAGGTCATGCCTCCAAACTGACCTGGACTAGCCCCTACAGATAAGTATTGAAATGGATTTACTGGTGTTGGAACCTCCAAAGCTCCTTCTAACATTTTCACTACAATGCTCATCACAGGCCTTGTTTCAGGCCTATATTGAACACAACAAAAAGCCACCTTCACCATCCTTTCTGCCACTTCCCTATCTCTCTCCTCAATCCCACACATTGTTATCATCCCCCCCAATTCTCCCTTTTCAATCTTATTCCACACCCATGTCGGAAACCACTCTTGGCTGTCGGTAAGATTAACGTCAATGTTCCTTCTCCTCCCAACAATTTCAAACAGAAGCATCCCAAAACTGTACACATCACACTTGTGTGTGATTGGTAATGGCATCCACAGCTCCGGGGCAGCATAGCCTGGCGTCCCCCTCCCTCCGGTCATTGTGATATGTGTGTTGTCGCGGTTAGAAAGCTTTGCTAAACCGAAATCAGCTACTTTAGGATTGAATTCTGCATCCAGAAGGATGTTTCCTGGTTTTATATCATAGTGGACTATTCTTTGCTGGCACTCTTCATGCAAGTAAGCTATCCCTCGGGCTGTCCCGACTGCAATTTCATGGAGTTTGTCGAATGCTAAGATGGTTTTTTCGCGGAATAAGTACTTGTCAAGTGACCCATTACCCATATACTCGTAAACCAAAGCCCTCAGACAATGTTCAAAACAGAATCCATATAGCCGAACCAGATTGAAATGATGTGTTCTTCCTATGGTGCTGACTTCTGCCATGAACTGTTCTTCGATTCTCTTGTCCGAGGTACCAATTAGAACCTTCACTGCCACCGTGGTTCCATTGCTGAAAATCCCTTTATAGACTGATCCGAATCCACCAGAACCTAACAGGTTGCTGAACTTATCAGTTGCAATACTCAGCTGCTGAGAAGTAAATCTGATGAGCTTTTCTCTGTCCATATTGTCAAGGAATTTGACCATTGTAGGTGGAAGAAATCTGGGGTCTGGTCCAACTGTACTCTTGCCTTTTATTTCAGCTCTTTTCTGGCACACTACCACTACCACGATGATCTTTATAATTATTACAACTGCACAAGAAAATCAAAATTAAGACTCGAATCATTAACTGAATATCAATCTCAATGTATTTTTACTAATGTTTTGAAAACAGATTTTCAAAAATTTTCTATGTTTCTGCTTTGTTTCCACAACCTTTCGATTCCATGCTGAAAAATAAAGCATCAAAATGAAAAAAAATAAAGTGTTTTTTTTTGGGGGGGACAAAAACCTTACCCAAGCTCGCAACAACGGAAATTGTTGCTATGGTCGCTGAATCGGCAGTACCGGAACTTGACATTTCGAAGAAGGTGGAAACAGAGGAGAAACAGAAGTATTCAAAAACCCTTAGTACTCAAAAAAGCAGTAGCAGTGAAATTGTACACTCGAAACCGCGTTAAGAGAGAAATTATCTACGAGGCCGGTCATGGTCCTAAGCAAAAATTTTATAAGAGGCCTTGACACTATAAGATATAATAATATAAATGAAAAATGATATTTGAACCTAAAAATTTGACTTAATTTACTAATCTAATGACGTGGTTTCATTAGAATCATTGGAACAACACTAAGTTCCAATGTTTGATGGAGCCCACAATCAATCCAAAGATCATGGTGAATTAGGTCAGTAAATTAGATTTCAGTAACATTGCTCAATATATATACGACCAAGTATTTACTAAATATTAATAAAAAGTTATTTTTCCTTTGGTTTGAGATGCAAAAATACTGACAAACCTTAAAAATGTAAATTTGCATTCAGGTTTTGCAAATAAGACTCGGATATAAAATAAAAATACAAAGAAAAGAGGCTGAAATTTAAGCCAAAAAAACCTACAAATTATGCAAATAAGGTAACAGATAATTAACGAATGGATTGATTTTGCTTGTAACTCATAGAAAATATTTTCTAAGAAGATAATTCATTTTTTCCAAATAAAGGCAGGTATGACTTAAAAATTATAGGTGTCATTGTGTTAGAATTTGTTTGTCACATACTCGTCTATTTTATAATCTTGTACAATTAGGTTTATATCGTATAAAACTATAATTAAGACAGATGGTATATCGGAGAACTATCTGCATTTTCAAGGCAAGTTCATTGTACATAACGAAATATTCTATAGTAGATGCACGCTTGTCTTGTGTCAAGCGACAACAATTTCATAGTAACTTCCATAAAATGACAAATCAGTGATGTAGAACCCTTTGTCCTTCCTTCTAGGAGATGATACCCATGACTTCTAAAACAGAAGTTGTATTTGGCAGTCGAATATAAACAACTCCCTGTACTACTATATCATATTTGGAAGAAAAAAATTAATTATACTTTGACCCATCAACTATGATCTCCCTCTCTTATTGCTCTCAACAACCACTTTTACCTATGGTTATTGCTTTTACACTCTCTCAATATTCATGTCCGTTGCAAATTTGTCAAAAAATAATATTTACTTTGCCCCTCGAACTGTCTCATTTTGTTTTCTTGCTTTGTCCTAACACGGACGGTTACTTTTGAGAAAGAGATAAACCAATTAAAAAAGATAAACATTTGTTTTATGCTTACAATAGAAAAAAAAGGTAACAAAGACATTTGTGTTACGTTACCAATCATTTATGGAAAGCCACAATCTGTCAACAAA